ATATGGCAATTTTTCAACCAATGCTTCTAACTCAGCTTATATGAAAACAACTGTATCTTGGTTATTTTATAACCGATTTTTAATATTGAAACATCAATTTGCGTTAAGTAAAAATGCGAATTTAATGATCTAATAAGATATTCTATTTTCATATAAAAGTGTTTCTAACTTTTTAACCAAAAGGCCTAGAAAGAATTTAATGGTCTAATAAGATATTCTATTTTCATATAAAAGTGTTTCTAAATTTTTAACCAAAAGGTCTAGAACAAAGGTGAAAGGTGCATTGGAAAGAGCACAAAAAATTAGTCTAGGTGAGTTTTAAAAATAATTTTTAAAATGTTATTTTTTAATCAGGTTGCATTATAAAGAATATAATTCCGAAATTAATTATTTTAATGTCAAATAAGTAAATAAATTAGTCCTAAATATTATTTACCATAATATTACAAACTTACCTAGACTAATTTTTTGTGCTCTTTCCAATGCACCTTTCACCTTTGTTCTAGACCTTTTGGTTAAAAATTTACAAACACTTTTATATGAAAATAGAATATCTTATTAGACCATTAAATTCGCATTTTTAATTAACGCAAATTGATGTTTCAATATTAAAAATCGGTTATAAAATAACCAAGATACAGTTGTTTTCATATAATCTGAGTTAGAAGCATTGGTTGAAAAATTGCCATATAGGTTGCATTATAAAGAATGTAATTCCGAAATTAATTATTTTAATGTCAAATAAGTAAATAAATTAGTCCTAAATATTATTTACCATAATATTACAAACTCACCTAGACTAATTTTTTGTGCTCTTTCAAATGCACCTTTCACCTTTATTCTAGGCCTTTTGGTTAAAAAGTTAGAAACACTTTTATATGAAAATAGAATATCTTATTAGATCATTAAATTCGCATTTTTACTTAACGCAAATTGATGTTTCAATATTAAAAATCGGTTATAAAATAACCAAGATACAGTTGTTTTCATATAAGCTGAGTTAGAAGCATTGG